CTTGTTAAACACCCAACAGCACTCCACAGCGCACTATGTGTACAATGATTTTAGGTACAGGATTTTGGATACAGATCCATTGTGGGGTGGATCTCCAATCCCTCCCTCAGCCTTCGTCTGAGCATCTTCTCCCAAGACACCAGACTTGTTGACTTCAGAGCCTTTTCTAGTCTGGAATAGTGTCATCTCAATTTAACTAACTCTACCCACAGCAATTCTATTCTCAAATAAACTCACCTTTAAAGTACTGGATTCATCAATTTATCAATTTATATTTTTTTTTTTTTGGGGAGAGGGTACAATTTAATTCAGAAGAATGTTATATAGAGTTTGAAAACGTGAAAATGTCATGAGTATAAACTTAATTTAGTGTTTTCTGTCATGAGCATAGTGAGAACATTGATGCTACATGGAGAGATTGCACATTCCTTCTTACTCTTCACCTAGATACCACACGCAGCATTGGAATGACTCAACAACAAAAAGGCATGTAAATGAGCCAGGTGAAAGTTTCTTAGCAGGGAGAGCTACCACGGGAGCTATGTGCATTATCACGACACCCACACATAAACTTTGTGAACAAAAACCATCTAAAGTAAATTGATATAAAGGTTAAAATGCATCTATAGAACCCACGTGTTACAACCCTAAGGCCCAGAGAGTCTTATCAAACTATTTGTTTGCCAGGAGTATGATAATAAAGAATTTATTTCTGGACTCCACGCCAATGTTGTGGGATCAGTGCTAAGATTTCAAGCAATAGCAGCCAGTAGAGACACGGTCAGAATCTTGGTTGATGTATTGATGTATATCTGCCAAGAAATTGGTAGGATTTCCAGGTGTCAACATCGGAAGTGGCAAAATAGTGTTCCTTCATTGATAATCCTGGATCAAAATTGCCTTTGTGTTATTAAAATAAGACCTACTTTGAAGTTTACTGGATAAGAATTTTAAGATGTATGAAGGGAAGTTACAATTTAACAGGCTCTGGAGTGATTTTTTTTTTTTTTTTTTATACAGAATTCAAGTAGCTGAGCAATAGAGTGAGAGGAAAATGGAAAACAAGTGCTAAATTAAAGCTGCACTAAAGTAATTATCATTAGGGAAGATTTCCAACCCCCCCTGTTCTCCCATTTCTACAGCAATTCCAAAATGCTTGGAATGTAGAAACCGCACAAGGATTTCTATTTGAAGATACTACATATTCAAAAAGAGGGTAATACATTGAAAATGGTAATATGTATGGAAGATTTTCTCAGCATCATCTCTTCTGTAAAACCAACTTTTCCGGTATAAGCGGGATGATTGCATCACAGACATTATTAGAATATTGATGAATAAAATAATCCACCCACCCAACCAGCCAGAAGAAAAACCTCAATGTACCACGAGTTTGACTGATTAGAGGCAGGTTTAATCAACATTCACCCATCTCTTACATTACTTAACTGAATATGAGGGTTGATTTGAAGCCCCTAATGGTCAACAGTAGAATTACTGTGAAGGCGGTGGGGTGCTGATTCTTATAAGAAAAGCATATCAAAATTATTTGACTTATTTTTACCCCAAAACGACTATCAAGCTAATAACTCTAAATCTACACAACAGAAACAGGGAACATTTCACTACAAAAGGTTGTGTTGCTAAAAGCCCAAATGATAAACATAAGGGGATAAAATATATATGGAAGCTCAACACACTTGCTCTTTACTATAAATATATCCATTCAAATAATGCAATAAGTATTATCAGCTAATAAAGTGGAGTTATTTTATGAGAAAACGTTTCAGTTGAAGATACAACCTATTAAGAATAACAATTAATTTGTTTTTTGTTACATGTTACCACTGTCGTGTGTTAGGATAAATGTGGGGAAAAAGAGAGTGTAAATCTTATCTTTGATATGGACTTGTAATAAAGGTGACACTTAGAGGAATGATGTGAGATGATTTGTCCATTATTTGTAACATAATTTTCTAGGGAAATTAAATCCAGTTTGAGGGAAGGTCAGAAGAGAGAAAGACACACAGAAAAGGAAAGGAAGAGAAGAGGGACGGAGGGAGGGTTCATTTATTCTGTATCATATGGAATTTTTTTCAATGTTTTTATTTTGTTCCTCTTTATTTTCTTCCTTCTTTCCCCTCTTCCTCTTGCTTTTTACCCTCCAAATGTTTTATCCTTACTCCGTATCTAAGACAACAAATCCAAAGTATTAGGTTCATTTTTCCCCCTCTGTCATCAACCTTAAAACCCATTTATATAAAATTATGCTTCAATATTGGCTCTTTCACAGTGTAACATGGGCTCAGTGAGATCAACAGATTAATTAAGAGTTTTGTTTCACATAATTTCATGATTGGATAGAACTCAGGAAGTCATGTAGTGAAAAACTCACTAACATGCAAACCTGTATGTACTTTCAGGAACGTTCTCTGAGTGGCTGGCAAGCTGTCTCATCTTTGGCACATTTAAATATGTTGGGGAACTGTCAGTTTCACAATGATAGCCATTTCAGACTTAGTAATTCTGATCCTTAATTCTCTTCTTCTCTAGAAGGTGCTACTCAGTTCTCTGTCTAGTAAGATGATGTCTTATTTAACTGACCTTGGCTGCCTCATCATTATAAGGACAGTCATTCCACAACTCTTAACCACATAGTTATTAAACCTCTGTCTTTCTCATAATTTTTCTCAGACGACACGAATTCCACACTCCTGATTATTTTGTTTACCTGATTACATTTCATTAAAAAATAAATGATCCTAACTCCACGCTCATACTGGGCTCCAGCTCCTATCTGAAGAATGGATGGGGCTTCGTCTAAATTTGATAATTCTAGGAAGCAAATCAGAATGGCCTTTCCTAAATTACTTGTGTAATAGCCATGTGTCCTCTTGAATTTTGTTCTGTATCCATAACAGATTTTAACTATTGAATCTCGGCCTCAGTGTTACAGTCCCTTCATTTCTAGTGAACCTGACTTTTCAGCTGATGACGAGGAAAACAGCGAAGGATTTTGAGGATACAGACAGGGCTATGTGACTGGCTGTGTTACACCGGCTTTTGTGAGAGTATGATTTTGTAGGGGTGTGAGCATGCACACAGATAGCCAAATGACTCATTTTGGAGAAATTTTCAAGTAAATGTTAACTGGGTTTCAGCCCCACACCTCATTTTACATATACGATGAAGAAAAAGATGAGAAATACTTACAAACTGTTGATAGAAATAATTTGAGATAGGATAGCAAAAATTAGAGGATATAAATTTTTAACTTGTATAAGATTTGGATTATCACAAATAACCTTTTGTGCAGCAACGTGTTTTTAATTTCGTTTCTTAGCTACTATGGCTCTTCCTCAATATGAAGAATAGTGAGATTGTGGAATTGTACATCAGCAAAGCATAATTGTAACACACAACATCCTATGTTGCTTATTTTCCTCCTTCTGCTTTTTTTCACATATGTCTTCTTTACAAAACAAAAATCAACGAAACCAGCTGCTGAATATGTTAAGGACATGCAGATTACATATTCAGAAGTTTGAGATTGTAGGAAAATCTAGAGAAAATTTTGATTGTGTAACCATTGAAATTCTGTCTTCACTGTCTTTGGAATCAAAACCCATAATGAAAATGTGTGAAACTGAGTCAATTGTTGACTGTTAACAAATCTCTCTGCACTGGGCATAATTTCTCTTTCACTATTTAAAAATATCAGTTACATCATATAAATATGAGGGATATTAGAGAGAGCACCCATCCATGAAAGAGAAAGGTGTGGTTCTGTGTATGGTGATACATGGGTTAGAAAGGGGCTGTTCTATGATGGTGGTACTGGGAGATTTTCTGCTGGGAATGGTTGACATCATTTCAGAGTAGATTAAGCATAGTATTTTGCCGTTAGTAGCCTTGCTTCTTTGTAGTATGTAATGTTAACTCGCTGCTGCTCATTAGAACCCCTTTGCTGATAGATACATATTTAAATGAGACAAAAATAACTAAACAAGAAAGGAAAGTGTGAACTTACCTGTGCCCTGAGTAGGTTCTAGATATGGTGAAGAGCTTGATAAAAACTAATATTTGGATATTCGAGTTCTGCCTTATAAGTAGATCAGTGATGGCATAGTCTGAAGGTAAATTTTTCATTTATCTAGTTCATTTTTTTCTTAAATTAAATTTATTTTTATTTTACATCCCAATCATAGTTTTCCCTCCCTCTACTCCTCCTATTTCCTCTCCCTGCCTCCTCTCTGCCCTCCCCAATCTACCCCTCCTTTCTTCTGTAGAGAAAGGGACAGGTCTCCCATTGGTATCAAACAAAAAATGCATGGCATATCTAATTCCATTAAGACTAAGATCCTACCCTTGTATTAAATCTGGGCAAGGTAACCCAGTTTGATGAATAGGTTCCCAAGAGCCAGCCAATGTGTGTGGGACAGCCCCTGCTCACACTGTTAGGATTCCCACAAGTAGACTAAGCTATGCAACTCACTTTCATGTAGAGCCTTAGGTCTGTCTGTCTGTCCTTTGCAGACTAGCTGGTTGTTGGTTCAGACTGTGAGTTCCCATGAGCCAGGTTAGCTGTGATATTCTTGACCCTTCTGGCTCCTATAATCTTTATTCTTACAGCAGGAAAATATTAGGGAAAATGTTGGGGGGACGGGTCATTTTAAATATATATTAAGTTTAAAAAATGAGTGCTTTCTTTGGAACCATCTATGTGAATTGTTAACTCACTAATTCAGATAATTAACTGCGTGATATTCGAGCTGACTTTAAAATTAGGAGGCAAAAGCTGCTTTTTCTGAAATAGCACGACTATATTTTACTCAGTTCTCGCTTTCTATGGCATAAAATTCACTCCAAATATATGATGCATTAATTCAAATAGTTTTTATTTTTACATATCTGGTAAATGCAAAGTCTGTGTCTATTCATCTCCAAAAAATAGAGATGCAGTGATCTTAACTACATTTGTTTTTACTTTCTGTTTTCAGGGTTCAAGTTGAATTCTACATGAATGAAAACACATTTAAAGAGAGATTAAAACTGTTTTTCATTAAAAACCAGCGATCAAGTAAGTTATTTCCATCTCCCTCTTTTGCTCTTTGAATAGGAGTCTACCTCAAAGTTCCAGCTGTGTCATGTTTCACAAAGTCATTGTCTATATTTCAGAATAAAATCGAGAGACTATTTAGTTGGGAGTAAGTAAAAACAAAAAACAAAAGCAAAACAGAAGATACTGTCTCTTTAATATTTTAGGTCTCTAAATCCCACATGAATAAGTAGAGCCTTGTGTGCCCTATCTGAGTTCTGAAAAATACTGCCATAGTTTGAGTGGAGTACACCATTAATCTCAGCACTTGGGATGAGGCAGAAGAATTATAAAGTCAAGGTCATGGAATCTTAAAGATTGTATGTGTGTGGTGGAGAGCTCATAGGTCTTATGACTCCCTGACATGGCAGTTAGTGGTGGTGCAGCCCCTGGATAATGGTCATCCTCCTGGAAATACCTCTGACCCATACTCAGGCGAGTAACCCCAATTAAACTCAAGGGTTTGGAAAATAAAACATGACATGAGATAGTAGGCGGAGATCATGTTAGGGAGTAGAAGAGGTTGATAAACAGTGAAGAGGAGGGGACAAAAGAGAAATTGGGGTAAAAATTATGGCAATACATTATATGCTTATATGAAACCATCAAAGAATATTCTTATAAAAAGGAATGGCCATTGTCTGATACAATGAAATTTGGAGGCTAGCTTAAGAGCTTCAGAGTAACTATCAAGCTACTCTGGATTGTAGAGTAAGAACCTGTGTCAAAAACTTCTCCTAAACAACAATAATACTACATAATTTAATTGACTCAAGCTTTTACATGAGAAGGTGGTGTAAACTATCATTGTTAAGGTTCAACAAATTGAGTTGTCACAATGGGGGATCATTTTCCTGGTTAATAATTCACTGGTTCCCAATCACTCCTAATGGTAATAATTGTCAAGTGTATTCCAAAAGGGTGTGGATGGATGAAGTTCTTCCTCTGGAGGGAGAACTTACGTGCAGAAGTATAGGGTGAATGAATGACTGAATGTCAGAGTTTAACATCCCGAAGTTTCGTACTGAGAAATTGGGAACCTTGCCGATCCTTCTCTGTGTTGAAGGGTGCGTGATACTTGTTCCTTTGCACAATCCTACATGTGTTTCAGACAGTTTATAATAGCATGACTGCTGCTTACAATGAAAGGAACGTAGAGACCTGCATTGTACCAGCACAGAGTTGGGGCTGTGGATTTTAACCCTGGGTCTATCTGCAGTACTCTAAATTAAGTTGTGTGTCAGCAGGTAGCGTTCATAGAGGGAGTCCTGGTGTGTGAGAACATATCCATATACTGCCTATAGGAAATACTTGAGTAGTTATACCATAATGGTGAGATATTCTCAATGGCAGAGTAGTTTCAGGGTTACAGTTAGGAATACTTAATGCCTTCCTAAGTTTGTTTTTAGGGTTTCTGTGAAAAACCCTATCAGTAGATACTATCTAAAGGGGTTAAATCACATGAATGAAGCCTTTTTCAATACCATTAATCAGTGTTAGACAAGTATTTATTTGAATATTCCCTGACTAAAGAGGGAACCATTTCTATGAAACTGTAAGCTATAAAGTGAGATGAGACTTTTTCAACCCTGTGGTTTTATTGTTCAGAATGTTTTATTGCAACAACAGGGCTGAAACTAAAGAAGATTAACCACAAAAAAAAAGCAAAATGCAAACAAAACTTAAGCACTTTAACAAGAAAAACTCGACATGATTGCACAATTAAAAAAATCTGCTGTAAAAGAGTGCGATAATTCTCTACGAAAGTAGACTAAAAAAGTAACATTTCATCTTAGATTCCATCAATTAATAGTTATTGGAAGGCCTTTCTCATAATTTTATGAAAGACACATAAAGTAAAACCACTGATAATCACAAGAGTGTCAGTGTGCCTGTTAATCTACTCAGAGCATTGTTGCTTAACCTTCTTCATGGACTGTCCTGGTCTTTCCAACTTTGACCTAAGGGTTTGTATGGTATAGACATGATGCTCTTAATTTTCACAAAATTTAAGATTCTGTTGGCATTAAGTCTAGTTTTTAAAAAAAAGTCCAATTTGCCCAATTCAGCATGAGAAAGAATGTTTGTCTTTATGTGTATTTATCAGCACAAGTTATCATGGCTTCTCTTTGTTAATGGTGACACAATTGCTATATAACCTGCAATTGTAGAGATGACATATGCCATAGCATAAACATAATAGCAAAAGTATTTCCCATATAATCATAGAAACAAGTTTTCTGTGTAATAAAATTAACAAGCTGCTACAGAGTCACAGGATATATTATGGTGTATTGGGGGGGGGGCAGCTTGAATTTTAAGCTTGTTAAAGTTAGTCTCCAAGCACTGGTTAAAGTTCTTAAAGCTGTGCACAGATAGACTTGAACCAACCTTGACTGAATGTTATTTTGTTGCTTTTGACTTTTAAAACCTGATTTCCCATCTATGGAATGTCCCGTGTCATTTGTAGTTCATCGATTCTATGACACTCACAATTTATTTTAGTAACTGGATCATTAAAATTCAGCTGTCAAGAACTCTAGTAAGTTTAGACAATACATTGTGTGCTTTCTAAATACCTTTTAACTGATATGCTGAAAGTTCGCATTTTTGACAATTTTTTTTTCTTTCTCTTGTATGTGCTGAGTTCAAATGAACACCAAATTTTGTTGTTTGCTTAAAGGTCTAAGAATCCGCTTGTTCAACTTTTCCCTCAAATTGCTAAGCTGCTTATTATACATTATCCGAGTGCTGCTTGAGAAACCTTCACAGGGAAATGAATGGTAAGGTGTCTTTGTGTGATCACCACAGTATTGTAATTGTTTTGAATTTTTCATATTTGCAGGATGCTATTCACTTTTGTATGAACTGATAGGAATGTCTTTCAAGGTTTGTGGGTGCATTTCTGTTTAAAGATAGTCTGAACTCTTCCATGAATGCATGGTGGCCAGTCAAAATGCTTTGACCATTATCTTAAAATGGGCTCATCTCACAACAGACCTGAATGCCTTTCTGTTACTGAATCAGATACTCTCTACAGCATGCCCACCTTCTCTATATTTTCTGTCACCGTGCACTAGTCACACTCCAATGGAAACACTCACAAATCTCTCAAGATGGTTTCCCCCATGAATATTTATTTAGATAAGTGATATTAATTTCTTGATGTATTTTAATTTCCTTTATCCACAGTCTTGTTAGTTTGTTTAACGTATTTCTGCTAACTCATTGGCTTTGTCCTTTGCAAGAACAGTAGGGCAGAGGCCTCAGTGTGTAATGACATTCATACATAATTTTGATCTCATTCACATCCGGGACTCTTGGTCTACCTAGTTTACAATGATATTCGAAGGAGAAACTAAACTATGATGACTGACTCCTGCCTTAAGCTAAAATAAAAATACATGAGATATATAAATGTATACACACACACACACACACACACACAAATTGGTAATCCAACTTGTCTATAAAATGAGTGCATTACTGAGTTTATTTAAACTTTTGGACATTAGATGAGGATTACTAAGTGAATAAGTCAAGATTTGGTACTGTAATAGGAAGTGTGATAATTATTTATGAAATTTAATAATGGTGAATCACTTTAGTGAAATCTTGGTCTATCTCAGTTGTACTACTGTGAGTGAGGTTAAAGAGAAGTTTATTGTAACATTCAGCTTTCTGTAGGAATCTCTTGCCTGTGTAAAAGCTGTTGAGGGAATCCTGCATTTCTAGCATTAGAGTCAGTTCATGGTATATGTTATTTCCTTCAATGTATAGCTAATTTTACCATGTAAGTCTTAAATCAGAAGCAGAGGTTCACTTATATTTGCTTGGGACCCTCATGACAAATCTCATTATGCCGATTTTCCAGTGACCATTGGGGGTGGGGTAGGCACAATGCCAGCCTTTCCCCCATGTTCCAACTACATACCATTCCAGATTGTCCAGTTGGCTGTCCACAATGCATCCTAAGCATATCACCTTTCAACCAGCCTATGCACACTTCTTCCCTTACAGGATGAAGAACAACATTCTCAAATCTCCCTGCTCACCTCCCCAATCACAGCCGGCTCCCTTGCTGGTGGTAATTCCGACTGAACAGTGTGACTCTGCCCGATGTTTCTGGAGTCCCCCTTAACTCCCACTTTGGTCTGTAGCCAATGAAAGCCCCCAAGGATATTTTGTTGTTCATAAGTTCAACATGTGCCTGCTTTCAGGTACTTTTCAATGCATCTCCTTGATTCAGGCCACATCCATTTGTCAGGGTTGCCGCAGTTGGCTGTCTATGCCGTCCTGCCAGTCTACCAATGTTCCCTTTTGGTTTATTCTCCACAGGAGGGAGAGTCATTGTGTCACCAAAGTGTAAAGCTATTCACCGGCTTTGAATGACAATGTGGCTGTATTATAGCTCACTTTCCCTGTGGCTTAACCTGTGACTGCTGGTCACCTGCCACTTTTCTCTAGACCTTGTTTCTACTTTTAGGTCACAGGAGGCTCACATCCAGCTTGGCCTTCACGTAGGCTTTGACTGATGGGGCTTCCCTTAGCATTCTCCCTATAAGAACTCTAGAAGCATTTGCTTGTTTTTTTCTCTAGAGCCTTTGTCGTTTTACATATTGTATGTGTTTTTCTTGCTCACTCTTCTTCCTGAGTTCTCTATGAGCATTAGGATAGACGTAGGTCCTTGGCTGGATTGTAGAGGCAGGCACAGGGAACAGAAGTCATTTTCTAAATAAGTGAGTGAGCAGATGTGGAAATGACATAGCTTTATATTCTAACTCTTGTTTACGTCACTGCATTCGTTTCCAAATCTAGCTGTGGTGGCCTCCTTAGAATCACTAGCATCTTCTGTGCCCTCCTTTATGGTGAGGGTTCTAACAAATCTGTTTTCCCTATCTGTCTGCCACTCAAAATTCAAAATTCATCCCTTTAAGCTTCTTTCTTTTTCTTCTCTCTCTCTCTCCCTCTCTGTCTCTCTCTCTCTCTGTCTCTCTCTCTCTCTCTCTCTCTCTGTATTTGGTCCTGGAACCCCCAGGATAGCAACTCTTTGGCTAATATTTAAATATGAAGTCCTTACTTGGCATTGTTCCCTGTAGCCTTGTTCTACTCTGGTTAAGAGGCTTAAGTAATACTGGCTGCACAACTTCCAGATATTTCTCTCAGAGACCATAATCCATTGTTCTTACATTTCCCATCCATTTCTCTGTCTTATCTAGAAGTTTGCTAGTATCTAGAGCCAAGTTGTGTTGTAGCTCTCTCTCTGACTTATCATAGGTCGTTGGGGGTGGAGTTTGGTTGAAAGAATTCTCTATTAATAATATTATGCCCACCAATTTTACTGATGTGTCTCTGGTAAAGATTATTTGAGGACCATTGTCTAGAGATGTCAGTATATGCTAAGAGTTTATTACATGCTTCTGTCATTACATGCTTATATCATTAAAAAGACTACCTCCAAGACATCCTTCTATAAAATATTAAACTTGTTTATAAAACTTGGTGGTTTATGAATAGAACGTACATTAGAGAGACCTGAAAATTTCAAAATGGTCCATGAAGGATGCTCCCAAAGGAAAAAGCCATTGGTGAATGATAGCAGAATAAAATTAGATTATTTGGAAACATTAAGAGAACAAAGTTTCCTACAATTAACTTCTGTGTAATATTACTGAAAATATTCTGTCATAATTATAGAGGATATACATTTGAAAAACTAGATTACTGTAATTAAAAACCATGATAAACTAACTTATGTCTCCAATTCAAGTACACTGTTTTGTTTAGTTATATTGCCAATGCAGTCTTGGTTAATGAAAAACAGAAGTGGCTTTTATGGGTACAGGCTCTATTTTAAAATAATGAGGCTAATTCAGCAGCAAGATTTATTTAATTATAGTTATGACCTGATAAGGATGCAGATATTTTGAGCTGCTTTGCTTTATTTTTAATAAGCCTCTTCCAGGAATCAGATAGATATGAAATCATTGTGGTATGGGTGAACAGAAAGACAGGCAGATACTTTTACTGCGTATATTTGACATCACGGATACTGTAAACATTGGTTCATGTGGTGTGCAGACCAGGATTTTAAGGTTGCAGTACAGGAGACTGCTTTGTATATTTATGCAGTGTATGTGAAGAAGAGCTATCTTTCTCCCAAGGGCCTGTAGAAGCTTCCATCACAATTTTATCTAATTGCACACCCTTGTCTTGACTTTGAACGTGTTTAAGTGATTCTGATTATTAGCATTACTGTTGGCAGAGGTAGTAGTGATAAGTAGCAGAGTCAAGTCAGGAAGCACACATTGGCAGTTGGTTTTCTTTTATGACACAATCAAGTGATGCCTGGGCAGAAAGTCTCAAGAAAGGATTGTAAGCAACTGCACGATGATGTCGTGCTTATGTTAATTGAGCTGTGTAAACCTGCCCATTGTGGATGGCAACAGTAGTTTGATTTTAGTCTCAGGCTGTACAGAATGGGTAAAGCCAGATGAGCAAACCTTCTCTCCCTGTCCTTGACTGCGCCTGTGACTGGCTGCTTCAAATCCCTAATGGCTGTGACAAAGTCGACCCTGGGATTGTGAACTAAAATAAACTATTTGTAGTTTTGTTGGAGCCTCTGGAAAGGGAACTGAATGTTCTTTGGAAATTTTTGAATTTTCACTTGTTGCTTTAATATAACATCTTGTGTGATCCTATTTAAAAGATTATTGCTATCGAATGACAACAGGTATTCAAAGAGTAAACAGAATTGTGGCAAACTCACAGAGATACTCCTGCTTCTGCCTCCTGGGTGCTGGGATTAAAGGTGTGTGCCACCAATGCCCGGTGGCAGTGTTTTTTCAATATTTGATCAATTGTAGAAATGAATGTTATGATATAGCCTTGTTTTCTTCTCCGTGTAGATACTGTGTAGACTCAGCACCAACTAATAGAGCACAGAATCTTGAAATTTAATTCTTTTCTTAAGAAAATTTCTAATACTGAAATTCCCAACAAGTTGAAAACTTCTATATATTACATGCACACACACACACACACACACACACACACACACACGAGAGAGAGAGAGAGAGAGAGAGAGAGAGAGAGAGAGAGAGAGAGAGAGAGAGGGAGGGAGGGAGGGAGGGAGAGAGGCATCATAGCGTAGATAGCATAGATGTAATACCTACATGCATGAAGAAGGAACATAGACTTTAAAAGTTCCTGGAACTTAACCAACTTCACTTTGACTGGAATTTCACAGAAGTATCTTACAAGAGATTCAGTCATTTCATCAGACTTTGACAGGACTGACTGGGGTGAGTGTCGAGCTTGGGTGGCTTGGGAAGGGAGGAAGAATGTTCACCGTGATTGAAGGTGACCTTTGCCACAGCTACAATATTGAAAGCCTCTGGGTGTTTATTTTTATTATTTTTCAAAAGTAGGTTCATCATTGTCATGCCTAATTATTGCTCACATGGCTTGGTGTTAGGGTTTTTATTTCTTATGCTTTACAAGTTTATGTTCCTAAAACTTTTCTAGTATGGAGGCTAGCAGATTCTCCTATATTTCCATATTCTAAATTATACTGTATGCCCTAACAATGTAAGCCTAATACTATACCAAGTACTTAGTTTCTCTTATATGTTGTGTATGTGGGCTGGGAAGGTTTTTTTTGTTTGTTTGTTTTGTTTTGTTTTTTAATGCAATGGCCTGGTTTAGGTACTCCACACTATAGACATGTACTTATCAGTAATCTTAAGGACGAGGAAGAGCCTTTTGAGCTATCTTGAGCTCCTCATGATTAGGCTTCACATGTTGATGTGCTCTGCATATAATATACCACCCTGTGGAACTCCCTTCACATGCCAATGTTGATTGGCACTTTGAGCATTTATTCTCCTTCATGTAAAAGAGAAGCCTGTGTGAGTATGCCGGGGAAAGGTGCTGCGTCCGTAAAACATCAGTTTTTTAAAATTTGACTGTTTCTGTCCCTGCACTGTTTGGGATGCTTCTTCTTCTAATGCAATAGTGCCAAATACATGACCTTGACCTACTTGCATAGTCACATTAAGCACATATTATGTGCATTTCATTTCCTTATTTTCTTTTATTGTTTCATTTCAGTTACATGCCGATCCAAAATGTTAAAATTGTTTTCTAACTATGACTTGGTGTTGAATTCACATAGATTCTTTCTGTGTGTGCACACACATGGCACATGCCCATGTATGTGGGTGGCAGTCATTGATCACGAATGCTAGTGTGTTTATGACTCCTCCATCTGTATGATCATTGTGTTTGGTTGTGGGGTTGTCAGATTTACTACTGTAGTATATATTTTATTATTTCCCCCCTTCCACTTTTATTGTCAACCGGACAAACTTTCTGTGTCACCTTTCTATAGTTGTCATTTCTGATTTTGTCTCTCCTTGGTTTGGGGTTTATCTAGGAGTTTTTAGGTTTAATATCTTATTTTTCTTGATGACACATCCATTTTACAAAGGGTAATTTTCATGCTAGCTTTTTACAAAAATATAATTTTTATATATTAATTGAATTTTATAATTAATTGATATAAAATGCTGATTTTACATTGCATAAGTTTATATATTAGAGAGTTATAGGTTCTTTAAGTATATTATAAAACTATTATGATATAATTCTTGTAGGTCTCAGTCCAATTTAGAATTGTTAACTATTCTACGGGGTCTCCTTCCATGGTTTGCTAATAAACATTCACAACCTTAAAATATTCCTTCATAGATATAACTATATCTTATTTTAGCCATGGTAATTATCAAATATTTTCCAAAATCTCTATGTGTTCTTTTTAGCAGTTTTGTTTATTACCAAATTATTGTTTTAGAAATTTTTAATTTTCTGTCTTAATTTGATTATTTTATGTTTGGGTGTTCTGATTTTATGTATGCCTTTATACCACATATGTGCCTGGTGCCTTCAGAGACAGGAAGGGGTGGTACTATTCAGATCTCCTTGTGGCTGTAGCTACAGATGTTCCTGAGTTACCACGTGGGTGCTGGGATTGAACCCGGGTCCTCTGGAAGAGCAGCCAGTGGTGTTTACCACTGAGCCATCTCTGAGCCCCCTATGTTTTGCTTAGATGGATGAATACTGAGCTAATATCTTCCGTTTATCTCTCATACTTGTCTTGTTCTTTGTTTCTCAAGTGTAAGTGAAAATACAGGAAATGTTTGGGGACGGGTGGCCAACTCACAGCTATCACTTTGTCTCCTTTGACCCCACCTGTCATTCATGCTGGCTGGCTAATCTGCACTGTACACTCAGTGAGGTCCTGGGTTTATAACATCAAGAAAATCAGGCATAGTCGCCGATGTTACAGATGTTGTGATGTGCGGGAAACAGCCATTAAATAAAGATGTTTTCAAATAAATATCAAATTTCAGTCATAACGAGTTGCAGGAGAAATTTGAGGAGTCACAAAGCCAAAGAGATGAATTACCAGCATTGGTAATTCAGGAAGTCCTCAGAGAGTTCCCCGAGTAACCGGATTCTGAAGAGAGTTAGGAGATAAGAGAGGAATACGCCAAATGGGCTTCAGTGAGGAGGAGAAAGTTGCACAGAGAAAACACCAGACTTCCATTTCCAGAGTTCAAATCTTCCCTCCCTCCCTCCTTCCTCCCTCCCTCCCTTCTCCCTTTCTTCCCACCTCCCTTCCTCCTTCCTTCCTTCTTCCCTCCCTCCCTCCCTTCCTTGCTTCCTGCCTTCCTTCCTCCCTCCTTCCCTTCCTTCTACATCCAGGCCACAGTTTCCCCTCCCTCCTCTCCTCCTAGTCCCTCTGCCCTACCCATACCCTGTCCCCAACCTCCAATCCACTCTTAAACATAACATACCAAGTTGAAGTAAGACTAAGTAAGCACCTCCCCATGTGGGCAAGGCAACCCAACCTGAGATGTAGGCTCTCAAACACCAGTGAAAGAGTCAGAGACAGCCCCTGCTCCCACTGTTAGGAGTCCCACAAGAGGAAAAGTGGAGGGAGTGGGAAACCTACGCCGCCATATAACCTTCCAGGTACAGTCTACCCCGTCTATCGGACGTGCTGGAATTCGTGCCTAACCCAGTTGTCATCAGAGGCTTCATCCAGCAACTGATACAAACAGATGCAGACCTCCAGCCAAATAACAAGCAGAGCTCAGGGGAAAAGGATTGTTGGAGCCAGAAGGCTCAAGGATACCACAATAAAACCCTCAGGAACAACTAACCTTGGCTTAATAGAGTCTCAAAGAGACTGAACCGATAACCAGGGAGCCTGCATGGGACTGATCTAGGCATATGTTCTACAGTATAATCTTTATTTTAGAAAGGTAGAGGGATCTGATCCAAAATTTATTTTGATAAAAAATTACTAAAATTTCAATTTAAAAATTGTAGATGGCACATGAATTGATTTTTGGCAGATCTTAGAACTTAGCATGATCTCAAAAGGGCCAAATTGAAAACCTCATAGTGGGTTGCCTTGCCCCCATGGGTTAGGTTCTTAGATGAAAGTGTGAGTGTGGTGAAGTTTAAAGTAGATGGATTCTATATGTACTTGGTGGGGAGTACTGAAGTGGTTTTTACTGGCTAATGAGTTAAGTACTTGAAAATGCAGAGAAGAGCATCTGAGAGCAGACACAACAGACTCCAAGCTGCTTTCTGAATCGGCAATGTTAATAAAACAACAGACTTTGAGGGGAAATCCCTAGATGGAGTAATTGAAGATGTCATTTAGCCAGATAGATGTGCCTCTGTGAAAATCTAGAGTACTATATAATAATGTTCAGCACAGTGGCTTTCTGTAGTCTCTTAAGTAAACGAAACTGCAAGAGTTTGTGGCTCTCTTATTATTTTACATACTATGAAAAGAAATTTCAGTGTTTGGGAACACATTTCATGCTTTATGAGACTTCTCACTTTTCATGACTTCAAATAGTGGGTTGTTTTAATTGAACTGGATGGTTTCATGAAAAACAAAATTGCAATAGTTCAATAGTTTTTTTTTTTTTTTATCTTTTCCTGAGTAGATTTTATTTTTCTGAATGACTCCCAGTTCAGTCAATTAAATGTATAATTAGAGGTATGCTAACTCTGTTAAGGTGTTCATCTGAGCGTTTCAACAGTTTGTTACTATCAGAAAGACTAACAGTTTATTAAGACCACTAAGATCACTCATAAGGACAATTATTTCACCAAAAGACATCATCTTACATATAGTGTATATTGACCCCAGTCAACTTGACTTTTATAAATATATTTTATAGAAATGCAAATATAAACTACTCATGTACTTTAGACTTTTACTTACTGTCTTCATTCTGAATATTCATGTTGATCATTGTGTATTATTCAAGTACAAACACCTTTAAAATAACGTCTTTGCATTTGTTAAAGAGCCATTAATTTTAGATTTTGATTTAGACTTAGATTTAGAGCCAATTTTAGATTTTAAGATATACCATGTCATTCTAATGGCTTGTTTTACTTGTCATTTATTATTAACAGTAATAAAAAAGTAAATTAAAATGTAATATGTGTCTTTATTGTAGGTAGAAATTAATATCAGTGAAAATGTTGTATCCAGGAGATCACACTTATGTTTCTCATGGTGTTTCTAAATTTTATTGACTTCTATATGCTAATTGCTATTGCTATACTTTCAAATATCAACATTTTAAAATAAATGGATAATTTCACAGTAAAAAAAAAAAAAAGAAAACCTGACATTTTAATTTTTCTTTCCATAGGTCTCACATATTTTGGGTTAACAGAAGTCTACCTTTATGGGGCTTACAGGTTATGTACAATTTTATTTTATTCTTATATTTCTGGTTTCATTAATATTTCATAAAGAAACACTGTTGGGAGGTGAACTATTGATGTTCAAGTTGAGTTTGCCTTTATGGCTAACCTTAATGTACATACATAGCAGGCTAGCATTCTGACTTATTTCTTCTTGAGTGTCGTATTCTACCTTTTGAGATTTTCCTTGTAGTTTGCATTAGACTTCAGAGGGTGTTGGAAAATTAAAATAGGTAAATAGACAAAAAAGCAAAGTGGTGTCTCAACCTTCCGTGTCTCCCAAGATACTTTACAAGACAAGCTTGTATAACTCCTTTAAGAACATTCAAGCACCACAGTGTGGCTCCTTTCTATCTAGAGGAATGTGGGAGAATCGAAATAAATGATAGTATAAGCTTAGAGGCCAACAGAGCCTTAAGAAGTTAAAACCATAGACAAGAGGAAAATATGTCTGAATTATAGACCAGGGTTCCCTAGAGTCAGACGCCTAGGCTTAATTCTTGTCTCTATTAATCTTGGTGCACGTAACTGTTTTTATAAGATCCTGTCACTCCTTATATTTATGTGCTGTAAATTTTTTTTCTTAAAAAAATTCTGTTAATTCTTAAAAGTTCAAATTAAATTGAAGATAGGATCATTAACATGAGGAAGACTTGGAGATCGCAGAAAAACTTTTACGATTAATTGCCTGTGTCCACTTTTAGTACATTTCTATCTAGATCAGTAGTTTGAGTGCCCTAAAAAGCCATTCAGATTCTTTTTGTCTTCACATAATGTATGATGCTGAATAATTTTGAAATGCGGTGTGGTGATACCTACAACCAAGTGAGCTTAATTACGTTGAATTATAATTATTTCTCTTGCAGTGTAAATTGGTATGTAAATATCCTTTCCAAATGCCTTCCCAAATATTAAATGCCCATTAAAATAAGTCCTATAGTCTCTCTTGTAAATACTCTATAATTCTGCAATAAAAATATAAATTAATATTTCACAAAGCCTATAGTTTCCTAAAATTGCTTTTATTTAATTTAAATTGTATTCTGAGTAGTATGTAAAATAGCATGTTAGAATTTTCTAGAGCTCACTTAGAAATATGCTATTAGAAAATAACAGAGGTATTCATGAAGAAATATTTGTGGAGAAAATAAAAATATTCTCAGCATCCTATTATAAAAATCACCAGCTACATGCGTGCATGCATGGATAGATCTTGCTTGCATTGCTGGACATTCATCTGTTTTCATTGTGCTAACACTTACTCTTCACTTAAATTCAAAAGTTTCATTTTAGTAGGAAACACAATTTAAAATCACAAGAAGTAGACCAAGGTTTGAAGTGTTTTAAATCTTAATTGTAAAAGAAGTATAGTTATTTGACTCATTTCCTGTTTGTTTGCATATTTCATTCTAGTCTCCATTTTAAACTAATGAGAAGGCAGGATATGTATTTCAGTGGGAGAGCTCTTGACTAAAGTTTGAGAGGTCTGGCGTTCAATTCCTCAGCGTCACAAAAAGAAAACACTTGTCATTAGTTCACTTGTGTAATAAATAAAACATAACTGGAGAAAAATTTCCATTTCACTTTACCTATTTTTCTGCTTCAGTGTCTCCTGACTGTAACAGCAAAACTTGCTTACACTGCAGAGCAGGTAAAGAAAAGCTCTTGTCTCAAATGACACAAAACCAGCATTTCCGACTGGGAGAGCACAATTGGTCATGGAATTGTTATGTAACCTCAAAATATGATGCATGACTGAAATATTCCATTTGTAGTATGTTGGCATTGCATACATGCCTGAGGTAGAGGAAATGACACTAAATTTGAACACTGTGTTTGGTTTTTCTGAAGGGAAACACTCATTTAAGCAGTATGTTTTGGAGGAAAACAATGGCGTGTGATCCTAATTTTTATGGGGGATCTTTTCCACTCTAATCACTCTGAATATTTAACTCCTGCATTCATATTTAGGAGAAGGAACTAACAGTATTCATTAAGAATATGTGAAATTGCTGGGCGTTGGTGGCACAGGTCTTTAATCCCAGCACTCAGGAGGCAGAGGCAGGAAGATGTTTGTGAGTTCAAGGGCAGCCTTGGTCTGCAGAGTGAGAGTTCCAGGACAGCCAGGGCTATTACACAGAGAGACCCTGTCTTCAAAAACAAAAATAAATAAATAAATAAATAAATATATAAAAAAAAACATGTGAGATTATGAAAACATGAGGTAATAAAATATTGTGTGCCTCTCCTTACCTGCTGAATGAAATTTAAATATTAGTGTCACTTATAGCATATGTGTCCATGTGTGTATGATGTATATACCATATGCAGATATTAATACATATGTATATTTTCTCACATATTAGTATAAGTTACTAGTACATCGTGAAAGCCTATTTCATTTACTTCACATTTTCTCATTAGGTTACAATTTGTTTTTAGGTCTCAGTGGCATTGATCAGTCTATTTGAAACAATACTCCTTGGTTATCTCAGTTATAAGGTAAGATAGTCTAATTAGTTTTCTGATGTAGAACTAACCACTAGCATTTGCCAAGTTTTCTTTCTTTCTTTTTTTTTTTTTTTTATAATTCATACTTGGGGATAAGGCAGGCTCTTCTTAAACAGCTTTAATTATTCAGAGCCTCTCTCGTATGTGATAAAACAAACAAACAAAAATTCAAAACTGTGGTAATATGGTAGGATTTTCCTTGGTGTTTTAGAAGTACTTCACTAATTCCTGTGTGTTTACTTACTCATTATAGGCATGCTTCTATTTAGGCAGTGGAATGCTACTCATTTTTTATTTTTCTCAATCCCTTAAACAAATTAAAAAAAAAACAATTGTATCTTTTATGTCTTATTTTAATAAATTATTTTAATTACTGGGGAAGTTCTGTTTGGTTATCACAGTTTATCAAGTATTTATGAAGTGCTCTTTTTTTTTTTAATGAATTCTACAATTCATGGCTCTTTTTTTCAATGGGTTTACAATCTGGACAATGTGATGATGGGTAGATTACACAAATAAGTACAATATAATTCAGAAATTAGAAGCAGTGTTTGACCAGTGTAAATAAATATGATGGGTGCAAGAGAAGAAATGATGAATCCTAGAGTAAAAAGTTCTTCCATGATAAGCAGAGTCCTTGTATCAGTGATTTTAATAAGGCAGTGATTGAATTCAGTGATTCAATCAGTGATAGAAAAGGCAGGGTCATTGGGATGGGCGGATTAGCAAAGGAGTAAGTAAAAGAATATGAATAGGAAGTGGAGAAAATACAGATGACTACATTTGGTTAATATATGTATATCTGCCATGAAAATGTAGAATGGGACATTGTCAGAACCTCTAAAACACATCTCACAATAAAAACCATGTGCTTGGGACAAAGGACCCAGAATGCAGAGAAAACTAGTGACAACTCTGGGTATGATTGAGCAACACTGTAATGGTAGACTTTGGAGACAAAACACGGAGTAACCAGAAATTAAGGCCAACTTCAACTACGTAGCAAGTCTGAAAATTATTCTGAACTTCATAAGACCCAAAAAAATAACAGAAAAATAAAGTGAGAAGGGGGAAAAAAAATGAACAACTCTACCAACAAACCAACTAAACTGAAAACCAAACCTATTGAAAGGCAGAAGAGTTGGTTTGTTTTGATGAATGAAGAAAAGGTGGCTAAAATGCCTAAGGTTTTCTGAATTGAGATGACTGGGACCAATGTGGGAAGACTAATGGAATGATAATACAAAGAAAAACAAATCAAGGCAGGATCTAGACAGAACAGAATTGGTTTTGGAGATTGGACAGGATATGAAAATACCTGAGAGTGAGGATTAAGATCTTCTAGAATATTCATTAAAACTCTGTTCATGTTCACAGAAATGATAAAGGGAGTCAGGGATTCTCAGGGAAAGAGTCAACATCAAAATGGAATCCACAGACTTGTGGGGTGGAGCTGGTCACCTTGTAGGCATTAAAGAGAATACACAGTATTTGGAAGATAGAAAAGAAAGTGGAGGTAGAAAGTTCTAGTTCTGCTTAGTACCACACAGAGCAGCATAAGGTACAAGGTTGTAATTTTGGAAGAATGGTTGTTGACTAATTTATTTCCTAATTTTCAAGACTGAATTAATTTTAACTTGATCAAGTAGTACTTACAAATTCAATCAATGTTTATTCTAGGTCTACTTTATTTCCATTTAAATTCTCATTACTCTTATCTAAGACACCTAGAAAATAGTACTGGTTTCTCTGGGTGCAACCTGATGAGTAAGAATGTATGAAAATAAAAGAGCAAACATAAGACTATGGAGAGTGTAAAAAGATGTAAGAACTGAGCCGTTAGCAATTTCTACATAGGATCAATATTATGTGAGAAAAATGCCTGAGGTTTCTCAAAGAAGTCGTGAGCTCCTGTTCACCTTCAGCAACCAGCCTCAAGGCAGCTCCATTGAGAATAGCATTTGTTTAGTCTACAATGTTGGTTTACTGGGGCAGGAACTTCCTACAAGGATTGAGTGACTCAGGGATGCCTTCTAATGATGGATACTGTCTGCGTTGCTTGAAGAGAGAAAATATAGGCAGGATAAAGAATGATGAAAGAAGAAATCTCGTGGAAGGTAATGAGAAACCAGAGAAGGAAACTGGAATTTAGACACCAGCTGGGATGAAGTTCCATTCTCATATAGAAGATGAGGGGTGTGAAGCCACGTGCATTTACATTACCTAGAAAGTACTAACCCACCAATACTCTGTATTGACAGAGGGAGAAACTTCTTGTAATCTGTGTCTCCTGGAAGAGAATGTGTGCTATGAGTTTGTCTGGACAGATTCTCAATCTTAAAGTGCAAAATAGAAACACTAATATCGTATTTAAAATTATTTAGTTTTCAGATGTGTAATGAGTGTTGATCGTAAGGCATAGGAGACTTACATCTAACTCAGTAGGTGTGAGGGCGTTTCGGATACATCGGTCATGATGTCCCTTTCACTTGTACATGCTTATTTAAAGAGACATAACAGCCAAATATTAACATTCATTTGTGTATTTATTTCCTCCAAATTCCAACTGCAAGTAATATGATAATGATTTTTCTTTTCTGCTTTGCTAAAAGATCTCCCATCTCTGATTGAAGAAGTCATTTAAAATATACAAAGAGCTTCAGGATAATTTTCCATTGCAATTATATGATGATGACATTCATAATTAATTACTTCCTATCACCGACAAAATGAGAGCAGAACAGTATAAGGCTTAGCAGACAGGGCTTGATGACATATAATATTCCTATTCTGACCTCCATAAACTTTAATGGCTTAGCTAGAAGAGAAATAGACGTTAAAGTCCAAAAAGTTACAAAGGAAATAGAAAAGATAAAAATGAATTTGTTACAGTAGAATAAATTTCTATTAATTATCTTCTTTTCCTCTCATAAATTTAGTCAAATTCATGAACTTTTTGACCCAGCCAGTACACTGTTGCATAACTTCTTTGCAATGAGTAAATTCAATCATTGGTAATAATTTATAGCCTATAAATAAGAATTTAAAATGTGCTTCTTTGTACAAACTAGGAGTTTTAAAAAGTAGAAGATAGGCTTGCAAAAATGGTACTTAATTGCATGAGAAATTCCGTCTATATTTAATATTGTTTGATATTCAGAGGTCTGAGATATCAATGTGAGTAGTCAATAAAAATGTATTTCTTGTTTATATTTGTATAAATATTGATATATATATATATTTAATATTAAAAAATAAAGTACAATACAAGCATTTAAATGCTCAGCATCAAATATTTTACAATGAGAAAGAATTGAGTTTTAAACAATTAAAAAAAGTGTAATGTCTCATGGAGACCCAGAACAAAATTATCAAAATTTTACAGTACATGTAGAAATTAGTACATAATAAATTAAAAATCCATGGCATTAAGAACATTATTTTCCTTTATTTAGATGTGTAGGTCAGTGCTCAATTAATCCTCCCATTCATGTTCATAACTGCTTGGCAAAACACTCACAATAATTACCTAACACTGAAGTTTTTATTTTACTGGTACCATAAATACCATCTAAGTCTTTATCCACTGCTTTTAAAATAGAACTCTATTTATACATACATATTCATTAAATCAAAGGGAAACAGAAACAAACATCAGCCTGGTTTCCAAACCTCTACAAACAAAAATTCATCACACCTAAAAGCTTTTGTTAAGGCTGTGATTACTTGTTCCATAATTACCGCCAAAATGTATTCGTTCTGAGAAATATAGCACCATACTAACTTACCTGAAAAAAAAAAAAACTCCTTGTGTTTTCTAGATGGATTCAAGTATATCTAAATACTTTGAGTTTTCCATGCCTTGACATTTGAAATTTTATATTGCTCATCATACATTTAATGCTGTAAGCTTTCTTATGTACTACTTGAAATCTATTCAGAGATGATAAACTATCAGATATTTTGTTATGCAAATTAATCATTCATGTTTTTACTCCTTATGAATAAAATGTTTAACTCCCACATCCAAGGCTCAGAAAACATTACAGCAGAGTGGGAGGAAAGATTGTCAGAACCAGACGATCAGTGACTTCTCTGAGAGATTGTGTCTCCTAGTAACATCAGAAACTAGCAGTAAATCCTTTCCAACAAGACTGCCCATACATGAGCTGAACAGGGAGGATGCTCATCCAGATGTGGAAACCCCCCCCCCAAGGGTTCAACCCTACACAAAGAACTCCAGGCAACTGAGGAAAACTGGAAGTCGGGAGAGGAGCACTCTAATTGTCTAATGCCAACCCATCAGCCCTGAAAACATAACTTTCAAAAGTAACATTGTAAGAACCCATCAGGTTGCATTCAGAAATATATTTGTAGACATAAATACTTATATAATTGCAGTCACAACCAATGAAAAAGATATCATGAATTTGAAAGTGCATGTTGGGGAGGGCTATATGTGAAGTTTTGGAGGGAGGAAAGGGAAGGGAGAAACGTAATCAATATACAATCTCAACAACAAGCAAACGCAAGGAATAAAATGTTCACATGTAATTCCCAGGTAACTGAGCTTTAGAACATCTGGGTTGCCGTATTTCTGCAACTTTTATAGTGTTCTTTGGAATTTATTTCTGCTCTCCTTGTGATGATATGTAGTCCATTTCCTGTCATGTATTTTGCTACAGTTTAAGGAATGGCATGCCCATAGTAACTGAAATGTTCAAATTAAGGTTTATTTACATTTTATTGAGCTCTGGCAATAAGAATAACTCGGCATTATAAATGTGGAATTGACAGCAAGTTATTTCTTAGAAGGAGAAATGCTCTTTGTTCCTATCACGAAAGTGAAATTAAGTGAAGTAAGTGTTTGATATGATTTTGAGAGGCACTTTGCTTGTCTTTGGATATTGTTTATAGTTAGCTGCATAGTGGCTTTCCATCAATGCATGCTCTCTCTTTTTTCATCATAATTTATTTCTGTCCTGTTCTTATGATGCAAGTCCGCTGGGAATTCCTAATGGCCAGTGAGATTTGTGGACTCTTTCTATATTTATTTTAATAACTATTTTAGCGAGGATAATTTATGAGTGCATCACTTACTTCAGATGATCATTTGAGGCCTAAGAATTAAGTAAATCAAATATAACCGAAGACACGTGTGTTAATTTTTAGCTGTGAACACATTATTGTTTTATACAGTTTGACCATGGAAATTATTCCTTAGTTGTTGACTATAAGTTATAGCTAACACATAGATAAAAGTCATTAGGATGATATGAAGATAGGCAATTTTGAAATCTTTCTTTTTGAAAATTTCTGTTTAAAATAGCTTCCACGTGTAGTGATTTATAGTTACCTACATCTGGGGAAGTTTCTAATTATAAATTTCTTTCAAATAAAGCATTACATCAATGGAAAGGAAAGGGTGCATAAAATCATTGGCAATTCAGTTATTCATTTGTCTATTTACTTTAGACCTAGTAACTACATAAATAGTCACAATCTATGCTACAAACTCTTTAGTGGGAGGAAGACAGCATCCAGAGGGAGAAATATAAACAGTTTTCACAAGTAGAAAGTGCTTGGCAGGTTCAGGGAACTGTGCAATTTAATATGGATGAATCTGTGGAGGATTTTAGGATGGAGGGAGGAGCGTTCTAACTCCAGGCTAAACTCGTAGCCAGAGTTTAAATCTTGAGTCTTCATGTAATATAACTGTGGGCTTGGATTTCATTCTCTCAACAACAGGAACACAGAAACTTAGAAAGAAACCTGTGCCCTCGTATGAGAGTTAATTCAGAAACGAAACCAGGCAAATCAGTTTTAAGTTGCCAGTTTTAAGCATCTTTAATGTTTCCACTAAAAATCATTTTGAAAAGTCATGTGTTACACTGAGATGAATGTCAGGAGACGTTATCATGAACTGAATTGTCCATTGTGTCACAAGGATTAGGAAAACTGAATAGTAATCATTTATGTACTGGTAGAAAAACATTACTCTATAAAGTAAAAATGTAACCCGGACATCAGTAAACTCAGTTAAAATTGGCTTTTTGGAGAAATCCGAGTTACTGTCATTAGGGAAAAATCTGGCCACCCTATATTTCTCCAAATCCACGCATCCTCCTGCTGTTACATGCTAATTGGATAGAAGGAGCAGTTGATGCATAATTGTACATCTTCTTGCTTCTTGCGTGCAGAGCATGTATTATCCTCTTTCGGGCCACCCGTATCATGGTGTTCTTTCCCACTTCCATGCCCACTCTCCTTCCAACTAACCTGGGACCCCAGAGCAGAAGAAAGCCAAACAAAAGGGAATGTTGTTAAGACCGCTTTCCCGCCAGCCTGGTCCCAGAGCCCAAAATAACATACAGAGACGCTATTAAATAATTATAAACCTGTTGGCCAATGGCTACAGGTTCTTATTCACTAGCTCTGTCTTAAATATTAATCCATCACTACTAATATATGTATTTCTATATGGTCTTATTTTACCGACAGACTCGAGGCCTCTCCACCTGAGATCATTTGGCGAGTCTCCTATGCTTCCCAGAATCCTCCCCCTTTCCCAGCCCCGCCTATCTTGCTTTCCTATTGGCTAACACTGCTTCATCCACTAACCAATAAGAGAAACATATTTACAGAATGACATCTCCCATCAGCAGAATGTGGCCAGTGTCTCCACATCAGTCTGGTCTGACATCCTTTCTCGTCCTCTATGAGAGTTCCCATGGCCTTGCTGCAGCTTTTGGCTGAAGGTCCCTCCTGTGCCTCAGGCTAGCTTCTTGGGGTCCAATAAAGATCTCAGGCTCCTGAGGTTACCTCCTGTTGCAGTCCTCTGCCACCTCAGGCACATACCTCTTGATGGAAAACCACTTAAAAAGGGATCAGTTTCCCTTTCTGATTTTCTGTATCAACCCCCCCCACTCCTCCCAAATATTGCCATAGTTGAAGGCATTGTGCCTTGTTCTTAGCCTTTATTTTATTATTTTTTTTTCTTCCCTTATTTTTCCTCATGTGTTAGGCACGGGCTAAATATAGCTTCAAGTCTGCGTGAAGCTAAGTGATTCCTTTGAGTCCTTTTCAGTTAGCTTGAAGTGATGAGAATGGCGTTATTTCACACATAACATTTCTTTCCAGAAAAGATCTCTGTGCGCTCCCATCCCCCACGCGCTCCCTCCTGTAAGCACATTGGCTACAACGTAAGGGGGCGGGGGGTTCTCGGCTAATGTGACAGACATTTTTTAACATCTTAGCACCTAGGAAATAGGTGATCTGGCACAGTGCTTGGGGTGGGGTGGTAGGTACTACTTATGCCCCTGCAATATCCCGAGCCATTGACATCTCAAGGAATATCGAACAACCTCATTTATGTCTAATGTTATAATAATTGGAAAATGCGGGCAATCCAGATTTTTAATTGTTTTCCCAATGCATGACCTGTTCATAGATTAAAAGTTTGAGGGCATTCCTGGGATTTGCTATTAGATATTGTATTGGTCTGCATTTCACGAAGGAAGGGGTCTGAAGGTCCTCTGTGAGGTAGCTCGATGGATTTGGCGTTTTTTAAGGGCCTGTGTGTTTGGAGTAAGAGCTGAGACAGCAAGCCAGAGATAGTCACATGCAGGGTTGAGCTGATTGTGAAAAATCTGCCCTTGCTGGAACTCACTGGAATCCCTCAGATACAGCACTGATCCCCTTCAAAGTCGACCCCTCCTTACCAGGGGCCTTATACTCATTTCCCCCATTAAGTCTCTATGCAGCTTGTAGTATGTGACATGCACATGCAGGCCACACCCAAACCTTAACTATCAAGGTCAACCTCAAGGGTGCGTCATCCGAGTAATGAGAAAGGCTTCCCCAACAGCAAGATCCTGTAACTGTTTTAATGTTCTCACAGCTTTCCCTTGCAATTGTTAAGAGGCCCCATACGGGTCATTATTAACTGAGCCTTGAAAATTACGTATTCAGTCCTGATTAATTTCATGATATAGACTGGGAGATTAGAATATACATGATTAAATGGCTCGTTACATTTGATTAAACATAAAAAATAATACCAGCTGATTTAGCAAATAAGCGTGATTAACGAAAGTCTTGCACTGCATTACAATGAGTTAGTACTCTTTAAGATAGTGAGAACAAATTGTGTCAGTTTACCTCAAGGTCCTCTGCACATACTTTACTTACTTTTAGTGCGTATTGTAGTATTCAAATGTTATAGACACTCCTCCTGGTCTACTTTAGTTCTAACATTACAAAACCAAAGAGCATAATTCTGCTTAAAATTAATTTGTAAGCTATCGTTGCATTCATATACTGAGCCAATATTCTGTTAATAGAAGTTTTGGTATTATGAGAGAAATTCTGAGTCCTGGTATGTCTCTAATTTTGCTTTTACTCAACATTTATTTGTAGGGAAATATCTGGGAACAGATTTTACGAATCCCATTCATCTTGGAAATAATCAATGCGGTCCCCTTCATTATCTCAGTAAGTCTAAGCGTCTTAAAAGGAGTAATTTGTCATTAGATTTTAATAAATTCTCTGTGTCTAAATTCTTTTACACAATACAACCTTAGAGGGATGGATTCATTCTTTGAATGGAATCTGGCTCCTTAAAGGGAATCAAGTCAATAAATGACTGTATTTCATAGCTAAATGAAAACTAGTCAGATCCAATACAATAGCAAAATGAAAACTTGCAAACAATTATTACAGTGTACATTGAGGTCTTTCAGTATTGTTTAAAGATCCTCAAAATTACCCTATTTGTATTGTGCAATTTTAAAGGTGGAAACTGATAGTGTGAACTATTTAGCACAATTGTCATAGTGAGAGCACGCTCATTTCTAGCTTGCATGTAGAATTTACCCACTCAAGTTCTTCATTAGTAGGGATGAGAGCCACATAGCCACCTCCTCCTCAGAGTTCTGAATTTCCCCTCCTGCAACAACCCTGTGCTTCCCCTGTAATCCCGTACATACATAACGCTGGATATGCCATTGGTAAAATTAATCTCTAATACCATTTTGATGTAGCAGTAATTATTGGAATTAGAACTGCTTGGATTTTATTTGGAAGAAAAAAAATATGGAGAAGGAGTAGATATTATCTGAAGCTGCTCCTCACTTCTTACATTTTAATTTGAGTGATTTTCTACAGAGAACTGGAACTAGATTAAATGACAAGCCAAATGAGTGAATGCAGCCTCGCAACACCCCTTAAAGTGGTTGAATCAGAAGACAGTGATGTGTTATAAAAGACTCTGCTTGTACCTCTACCACCTCGGGTAGAGGAACAGCAAAGTTAGAAACACATTGTAAGATTTAATCGTAGATTCAACATGCTTGCATCTGTTGAAACCTCTTGCTTTATTCTTCTGTATTAATCTTCCCAAGAAAGACTTCAGCAAGGAGTGAAAGACCATTCATTAGTGTGGATTTTAAAGTATTTGATACTGTTCTAAATCTTCTCTTTCTTTTTTGACTTTTATTCTGTTTTATGTTTCTTTTTAATCCTCTTGATACAGTTTCTTTCTGCGAGATATAAGTTTAGTTTTTGCTTCTTTTTCAGATATTCTGGCCTACCTTAAGGAATCTATTTGTCCCTGTTTTTCTAAACTGTTGGCTTGCCAAACATGCCTTGGAAAATATGATTGTAAGTAATAAAATTAAGGTTCCAAACAGAAATATTTTTCAAGCACCCACTATGTCTTAGTTATTTTCAATGTTTCAGTAGAAAAGGATTAATTGTCCTCTACTTTAGCCCTTTGCCATTTCTTCTACCCCTATACATTTGCATAACATACAGAATTTATTCAATTTCAAGGTTATTGGAATTTCAATTACTTTCATTTAAAAACTTTAACCATAATTAACTGTCTCGAAATTGTTTTATTTAAATGTTTAGTGGTAAACTACTGCTAAATACTGGTGCACTATGTAGAATATATAATTAAGTAGTATATCACAGTTAATAAAAGGTAAGTTATTTATCTGCTATATCCAAATAAGAATGAAAACTTGTAAAATGCTTGCATTCCCTAGGTGTTGAAGGGTTCAGTCATGGGTAAAGAAAATTGTCTAGGCTTTTTTAAGTCAACAGTTCAGCACCTAACTGATGTTTACACAGGTACAAATGCTTGAGCAGTCCCTCAGAATAGGAGCACCCTTCATATTTAGTGCTATCTGTCTATGAATGTGTAGCTCATAGTTCATAAGCCTCAGTCTTTATGGCTTAGGACTGTTTCGTTAAAATGTTGGGTTTTGTTAGGCTCTTTCAGAATGAGTGGCTGTCTTTTGTGGGCTTTCTCTTACATTCAGTAGTGTTGAGCAGAGTGGCTGATCTAATCCAGAGGGCCGAGATGGAGAAAGACATGCAGCATTCATAACTGGGTTGTTATTCCTCCACATCAAAGGCCGATGCTCTCTGGAAGGAATCATTTATTCCTGGCACCTGGAAGTGTTCACCATAGTTTTCAGTACTTAACAAGCAAGTTGTAAGGCATTCGTTAATTAGTCATTTCTTTATTCAAATGCTAACGTGTTTCTGGAATAAGGCACTTGGTTTACTGTTCCAAGGGATCCAGTGTACTACAGTAGGGAAGTTATTACATCTCCATATGATAGGTGTTTCAGCAACAGTGTGGGCACATCTTGTTTTGGAGTCAGAAATCAAGACAAGGAATGGGTAGGAAGTGGGAGGAGACATTAAAATCCCAAGGTTCATCTCAAGGCCTCACCCCCTAAAGTTCCCATAATCCTCCTAAACACTACCACCTGCTGAACACCAAATGTTCAAACACAGGAGTCTTTGGGGACATTTCATATGCAAACTACAACATTCTGCCTTTGGTCCACATAGGCTCAGGACTTCCCCAGTAAGGCAAAAAAGTATTTGTTCCTGTTCCAGAAGTCCCTATTTGTTATAGTTCCAACACTGCTTAAAGTCTAAGTCTTCTGAATTCCAAGGTTTTTTCTCAACTCTGAACCCCTGGAAAAGAAAAGTTAGATTCTTCTAATATCCAGTGTCAGATAAGCACTTGCATTCCTAAAGGTTATGGCTATAGCAAAGATTTTTTTATTTTTTTTAACCAAAGTAAGACTATGCCTAGTGGAGAGAATGTGAAATCCCAAAGCTTGTGCTGTAGATAGCTCAGCTCAAATAATCATCCTGATATTAATGGCAAAGCCTCTCTCCTCTCTTTTGAGCTGATCATTAAGTGGCTACAGCTTTTCTTAGCGGACATCCCAGGGTCCAGCCATCTCTTACATTGTGTTTTCTCCACTGCAATCTCGACTTGAGCTTCGTTCAGTGGCTTTTGGTGGCCTCATTGCAAAGACTCCATTCCTGCCATGCATTTCCTGGCCACAATGGCCCCTTAAAACCAGGGCTTGAGATGATGTGACCCCCTCAATCTTGTATCTTTCATGCCTGCAGTTTGATGAGGTTGCCAACTTTTGCCTTCTCTGAGCTGGGAGCTCAGCTGCTTCTTGTGCTGACCCCTAGGAGAGCAGCTGATTGCTCTCCATGGTGCTAAGCTGTTTAGCAGTGGCAGCTGCTTTTCAGCTCCCTAGCCTTTAACATTAAGTTCATTTATTTTACCCTGAAATGGCACATAATAGAGCATGTCTTTCTGCTCCAATTGTTGCCTTTTCTCAATGAAACCTGTGTAAGAAGTCAATAGTAACAGCGTCGCAATCTGAATGTTACCCTGCCTTGAACTTTTCTACGCTTAACATACTGGTCTGTTGCAAATTCAGTCTCAAGAAAGTTATGAGAGCATAGGCAAAATGCTTCTGGATTTGTTTTCAGAATACCAGACCCATGGCCTCCAGCTCTGAAGTCTCGTGAGCTGAGCCTCTGTTCTTCCACGCCGCTACCAGAAAAATCCCATTAAGTTCTGCTTAAAACATGTCAGAAGTTCTCTGGCCCAGAATTCAAAGCTCTCCTGCATCATGTCTGCAAACTAGTATGAAGGAATTAATTCTTTAGTATCTGGTTTATCAGAGCAATAGACGCACTTTCTGACCAAACACCTGAATTAAAAAAAGAAGAAAGCAAATTAATGAAGAAAGGGTTCATTTGGCTTATAGTTCCAGAGAACATTCCATCTTGTTAGAGGAGGTGCAGTAGTAGGACAAAGTACGATTGGTCACATTGGTTTTGTCATCAGTAAGCCAGGAGACATAGAAAATGGGGTTGAACTATAAGTTTCAAGGTCCCCCATGGTCTATTTCTTCATGAAGGATGATAATCTAAGAATTCCACTAGTGGGCCTGTGAGATGGATCTGTGGGTCAAGACTCCTACCACCAAGCTTGAGAACTTGAGTTCTATTCACATGGTTGAAGGAGAGACCGAACTGCAAGTTGTCCTCCAATTTTCATACAAGGACTCATGATACCCACATGCACTCAATGAGCTTTCATGGTAACCATGTGCACACACACATGTATGCACACCCCCCCACACACACACAGGGTATGAATTTTAATGACAAGATTAAGGTTCCTACAACTTTTGAATTCAGTGTACCAGCTGGGGGTCTAATTGTTGGAACACGTGAGTCTATGGAGTCATTTCACTTTCAAACCACAGCAGACCTACTACACACTGGGCACTTAAATTGGCATTTGATTTAATTTCTGGGCTAATGTGTTTATCTTACAAGAAATAAAAGTAACTTAGTTGCAAACTTGCTGTGAAAGTAAAGTGTAATCACACATGCACACACACATGTGACATGCAAGATACTGTGTCTGGTATATGGAGGGTTTAATAATATTGATTGCATTTCATGGAAAATTACACTTGTTGGTATTAACACTTGTTTTTCCTTTAAATGACCTTTAAGCCTACATTATGTCAAAAGCTTTGAACAAAGAATTATTAGAATAAAATTTGAGCGTTCACAGCAGAGTGTTCCTAAACACTTATGTGCTTTCTCAGGAAAGCTCACAGCCAATGGTAGGAAAGTGTGGGTGAACAGAGAGGCTCCTACTATCTTCTTTGCCCCGAAGAATTACCATTTGACTAAACAAATTGCTAATGCAAAAAATGCACTCAGAATCAAATCAACCTTTGAGAATTGCTGTGTACTTAGCTGCTAGAAAAATAGCCCCTCCCTGACAAGAACTATTAGTTGGTATTCAAGAGAAATAGGCTACTAGAAATATTCGTTTAGGACCCTTTTGCCATTGCTCAAGCCATTGGTGTCCTTGGCTTTCCTTTCCAGCTCTCACTAGATGTTGAGTCATAGATTGTGTTTCGGATCATTACTCCATCTGCTCTAAGAATCTAAAGAATAAGAGATGAAATTCAGGCCAGTAAACTCAGTTGTTTGTTTTCATAGCAGTCATGGCTTAATGCACTACCGAAACCTAAAATAATGAACTGAGACCATTTTATTAGTGACATTTGTTTTCCTTTTGCTTCCCTGATTAGGAGATGGATAAAAGTGAATTGTTAAAAAAAAATTGAGGCTAACAGAAAATTGTGAATACAATATGAAAAAAAAAACCAAATACTGCCATTTGAATTCCACATTTTAAATTATTTCTATACTCTATTTGATACATGCACACAAGTCATATGTGAAATGAACCAATTCAGTTTTTTATTTGAAATTGCCACATAACTTGTAAGTGGTGGGTAAAGTGTTATGTTATTAGATGTTTCCTTGTAGAAATAATCAGTATTTCTAAAACTATTATTTAGACACATCATTTTTAAATATTTTCATATTTTATATTAATAGTGATAAATATCCATTGCTTATATAATAAACAGAAATTTCCAGTAAACATATATATATGCACATACACACACACACACACACACACATATATATATATATATATATATATATATATATATATATATATGTTTGTCTTTGTAATGTAATTGTATTGTTAGTTATGTCTAGGTCCATGTAAAATGAAAATATACTGCTAAATTAATTGAACTATACATATCACATGTATAGGGGATACTTAATATTTAAACTTGTGTATATTTAGTATTCATCATAATTTTAAATATGCATTTTATTCTAGAATGATCTTCATAGAGCCATTCAGCGAACACAGTCTGCAATGTTTAACCAAGTTTTGATTTTGATATCTACACTACTATGCCTTATCTTCACTTGGTAAGACTATATATAGCACCCTGTTATTGTTCTATTTCAGTTTTATGGGTAACTGTATTATAAAACAGTTTTATCAATGTTTGGCTCGTGTAAAGATATGCTCACCTACAGAAGTGAAATAGAATCTTGTTCAGTCTTATAGACTAAAGAAGAGAGTACCTGTATTGTTTGACCTTGAGATTTACTCTGACATTTCCACAAATGCTGTCAGTAGCCAAATCTCAAGGATTTGGCTTGCAAGTTTTGCTTGTCAGAGAACTGTTTTTCCTTCAAACCATTGACATACAAGCAGCCTCATCCCTGTTTTCTTATGAGAAATGTTGTCAAGGATATTGTCAATGCCCATCACTCCCCCAAAGCCATGTCTCTGTCTACACAGTGTTTTAGTGTGGGACCTGGTGGAATGCGGTGACAGGATTCTTGGCAGGGCACTGTGAGGCCTGACACTCTGATTTTTTTGTGTCCTCAGGTTATTTTTGTTTGTTTTTGAAGTCATACTTAACATTGCAGTAATCCAATGGGACATGGTATGTCATGCATTTGGATTCATGTATATCTTTTGCAAGAGAAAAAAATAGTCAAGAAATGATTAGAATAGTGTCTGCTTTACAGAAGTTATAGATTTTGTTTGTACTTGTGTGTCAAGTGTTTGGCCAACTTAGAGTGAAAAAAAGCTAATTTGGAAGTAGGAACAATCAATCTACATATATATCTGTTAGATACAAATAATACTATAGATGTGTGTATGCAAATTTAGGTATTATCTGTAAGTTATTTTGTACTAATAGTATGTTTAATACTAAGTAGACTTTAAATATGTCTATTGCATATTTCTGTTTTAATTTAATATTTAAATACAAAATTTGTACATGTATTTTAATCTTTCACAGAAAACATTTATAATTCCCCTAATAAATATCTAACTACACAAATGAAATCCACAGAAATGCTAAAAGTAATTCCATCACACAATACTGAATATTCTATTAAATTAAATGATTTCTATTACAATGTAACTAAAAATTCTTAAATATAATATCATATTCAATAACAATATTTTACCCTAAGGAACATCTAATGTAAATGCTCATTTAGTGATGTTGGATAATTGCTGGAAAAATGAAATTAATGGTTTTGAGATATGATATAAAATGGATTTAGTAAAGAAATGTTTGTGTCTAGGGATAGAAGCTCAGTTGTACTGTAGTTGGTGACTGCTTAATGAAGAAAAAGGTAAAAATATAGTTTTGGGTTATGTAGAAATGTATCTACTGTTAATGAACATTTTGTGTTATGATCCCTCCTTGAATGCCGGTCTTTTAAAGTATAACAGAAATATAGTTGGAGCTGGAGGGATGCCTCAGTGCTTAAGTACATTGCTATCCCAATATGTGTCTCATCCACCTGGCAGCTCAAAACCACCAAGTAACTCTAGTTCAATGGAATTCAGTATCTCTTCTGACCTCCAGGGGTGCACTGTACCCATATGGTCTATGTATACATGTGCAGGCTAACACTTAAAGACATATAATTTATTTAACTGGTGGTGGTGGTGGTGGTGGTTTATGTGTATGTGTGTGTGTTTGTGTGTGCACATATTTGTTATATTTTTGTGTTATATCCCATAGCTTTAAAGGAAAAAAGATTTGAACATTGCAGAACTCATATTTAGGTGGCCCGCCTGTATTCTTAATGCAACTGACAGTCCTGCAATTACCTGTTTTAGAAAGCAGCTCTCTAGCTCTAAAACACATGTAGGCATCATAGTCATTAACATTACAAAGAACTATTATTAAGCATCTGTCTATGAGGGACATATGCTTGGTGCCAAACTGAAAAAAGCATTAAGCTGGTGACCCATTCTTTCCAGAAAAAAATGTGCTGAAGTGTTTTCCCAGTCATTGTAATGGAATTGGACTCATCTGTCCACATGCTGGCTCCCTACCCCTCTTCATCAATAATGCTCCCTTCAGAGACAGCTGGCCATTGTGATTCATCCTGCATCTTGGAAACAAAGCAGTTGTAAGCTGGTACATCCGGGAATCAACTGCATGACTTTAGCACAATTATCAATATATTCCAACCAATAATAAGTACTATAGTTGATAATGCACTCGCTGTTTCTAATTTTACATGTATAGACTTGTTTTCCAAGAACTTTGCCACAAACTTTAATATTTTGTTTGGATGCACGTGCATATTTTTACGTTTTTCTCATTCTATAGCTGCAACACAAATGGATATTCTCTGGTTGTCTTCCAATGTGGAAAACTCAATATACTTTCTCAGTCATTTTTCAGTAGGGAGAATCAATTTATTTTTAAATATGGTTTAGCACAGTCTTTTCTTTGTTTGAGTAATGTGTTCCTAAGTTCTCCAGCTTTATTTTGTTGTTAAATAAGCACTGGGGGAGTGGACTAGTAGAGCCGAGTAGTGGAGTTCAAGAACATGTTACAGCACAATCCAGAGCTTGTTCACCATCATTAGATCTGCTTTAGTTTTGGTCTTTTCTTTTCTTTTCTTTTGTACCATAATCAATGCAGAAGGTACATTTGTCTATAAAGTTAACAATTGGCTAACCACTCCTAAGATTATGTAGTTCTAGAAAAATGCAGAAAACTTTGCCCTAATTAAATTTCATGTATGTAGCAATACAGATTTTAGGCACTCTAGCGGACTGAAAGAAAATGGCCCCCAAAGGCTCTCACGGGGCATGCATGGCCCTGTTCAATGGGTGTGGTCTTGTTAGAGAAACTGCTTCACTATGAAGTGTAAGAAGTACTGTTTTTCTACCTGCCGCCGCCTGGTCTTGTCCTGCCACCGTGTCAGCCCCAAATAATACAGAGACTCTGTATTTGATACAATGTTGTTGGCCTGTTACTTGTTTTTTATCGGCTAGCTCTGCCTTAATTATTAACCCATTTCTGCTGATCTATGTATTTTCACATGGCCTTCTCTTACCGGGGAGGCGGCTGGCGTCCAGCTCTCTCCAGACTCTCCATCTTGACTCCTCCTTCCTACTTCCTATTTCCTCCTTGTCTCCTAGTCCCTCCTATCTTCCTTTCCTATTGGCCAACAGTGCTTTATTATTAACCAGTATGAGAAACATATACAGAATGTCATCTCCCATCAATGAAGGTGAACTTTGAGATCTCATATACGCTCAAGCCACAACAAGTGTCACAGACCACTTCCTGTTGCCCGTGAGTCAAGATGTTAGAACTCTCACATCCTTCTTAGCACCAGCACACTTCCTTGCTTCCCGCCATGAAAATAATAGAGTAAACCTTTGAACTGTAACTGATTCACGACAGTTAAATGTTGTCCTTTGTAAGAGTTGTTGTGGTCATGGTGTTTCTTCACTGCAGAAGAAACCCTAAGACAGGCATCTGCTTTTAGGAGTGTGGGAAGTTCACATATATTTAATAATAATATTACAACATATTATTTTAACTACGAAACCTAGCCTCTAAATTAAATTCTGATTCAAATACAGCAGTTTTGAAGTGTAGTGACAGTAAATAATTTTTAAACAAACAAATACTGAGAATACTAATCAACATGACAAGGTTTCAATTTGTCCCTAAATTTTCTTGGTCACTACTTATAGTGATATACTTAATCTTTTATGATCTGTTGTTAACATTCCTTTGCATCATAGTTTTCAGCTGAAGAAATTGAAATACAGAGAAATACAGGAATTTACTAAAAGGAATAACTGTGTTATTCTCTCTTAATGTGCCTTGGTATACTGTGTGCTCTCTTAAATCTTTAGGAAGAAAGTGCATTTAGGATAAGCACAATATCTGTATTGTCATATGCAAATAGTTTCTAGAACAGTGTCGGTATTTTTGTTTGTTTGCTTGTTTTTGTTTTTGAGATAGAATTTTTCTCTATAACAGCTCTGTCTGCCCCGGAACTCGTTTTGTAGACCAGGCTGGCCTGGAACTCACAGAGACATGTCTGCCTTTGCCTCCAAAGTGCTGGGATGAAAGGCATGTGCCACTGCCTTTCATTTTTTAGGAAAAATCATTTAGAATCTATACATGTCAGAGGAAAACATTACTGAAGTAGAGTAATATTTATTTAGTTTCAGACAAAATATCTAAGAGCATATGGAACCTAATGGTGATAATATGTGTGATTAAAGGAAGAATATGAAACGAAACCATTTGGTTATTTTGAAGACTTTCCTATTTAATGATATCTCATTGTCTCAATGTCTGGAAAACCACTCTGTCCCACTGGATGAGTGCACAGGAGAGCTCCCTGCAGACAGAGGCAGGTGCTGCTTTTCAGTTTGTGTGTAGTAGCCTCTTGCTACAGTTTTCTATCTCTGTCAGAAAACATTTGAGATAGTTATGAGAAGGAAGATTCATCTTGATGCACTGTTTCGGTAGTAACACTGTTTCAGTAGTAACACTGTTTCAGTGTAGCCACTTAGCCGTGTGTGTTGCTTTAGGCTTGTCAGCATGGCCCGAGTACATGGACGAGAAATCCCGTTTACAGTACGCAAGTCAGGAAGCATAAGATTCAGGAAGAGGCTGAGGTTCCCAGGATTTCCTCCTAAGACCATGGACCAGTGACCTAAGTTGTGTAATCTACATTTCTCTTAAGTCTCTTCACTTCCTTATACCACCAGCACCATGGACCAAGTCCTACATTTTGTAACCATTTCGGTCCTGAAGTGTAGCTGACTCCTAGGGAAGGGAAGCTTCTAGTTAAAGCAGTAATGAGGGAGTGAAGGGCATACTCCAACCATCATGCTTCAGTGAGAACACCATCCATTTATGTAGGACACACTGATAAAAAAAAAACCAGGCAACCAGAACACTCAGAACTGAATTATTTCAGGCAGCCGTAAACATTGGCTGTCTTCTTGAAAATAAACTTTCTGTGATCAAATCTGATAGAGTAAAATATAACGTGAAGGAAAAAGAAAAAAAAAAGTTTTTCTGATAGAATAAAGGAGGTAAAAGATGAGTTACATACATTTAATT